AGCAGCTCAAGTCAACACTAGTTGACTAGTTTTATGACCTGCTGATCCACTGACAGCATAGAGCTGTCTATTGTTTTTGTGCAAGGTGGTGTGAACAAAATTAACAATATCATTCTGAATGGGAACCTTGAACACAGCTGGTAAAGTGACATTTTTGCAAGATGATTCCCTTTTTTTGGAGTATAATGATATCCATAGATCAGCACACACCGTGGTGTGGAGGGGAAGAGAGATGCAATCCTCTCAATCTGGTGGTTCTCACAGGAAAAGCAATGGAGGACATTTCTTAACGATAAATGCATCTACCCAAAAAGAGGCTATAACTCTTGTAAACATTTATGCATCCAATGTAGGAGTATGTAAATATATACATAAAGCAAATATTGGACAACATAAAGGGAGAGATCTACACTAATATACTAATAGCAAGGGAATTTAACACCCCATTGACATCCAGACAGAAAATCAATAAGAAAACAGTGGCCTTAAGTGACCCATTAGACAAGATGGATTTAATTAATATTTGTAGGACATTTTACCCCAAAGCAGGAAAATATATATTCTTTTAAAGTGCATGTGGAACATTTTTCAGAATAGACCATATATAATGTCAAAAAACAAGTCTCAACAAATTTAAGAAGACCAAAATCATATAAAGCTTCTTTTCTAAACATAATGGTATGATACTAAAAATCAATTACAATAACAAAACTAAAAACCACACAAACACAAAAGGCTCATGCAATTCAACAATGAATGAGTTAACAATGAGATCAAGGAAGAAATCAAGATACCTTGAGAGAAGTGAAAGTTAAACAGAATCCAAAATCTGTGGGACACAGCCAAAGGAGTTCTAAAAGGGAAATTTATAACAACACAGGCCTACCCAAAGAAACAAGAAAAACCTAAAATAATCTGGCCTTACATTAAAAAAATTTATTAAAAAATAACAAAGCTCAGAGTAAGAAGAGACAAAATACTAAAAGATCAGAGCAGAAGCTAACAAAATAGATCTAAAAAATACAAAAGATTAATGAAACAAACAGCTAGTTCTTTGAAAAGATAAATACAATCAACTCCTCAGGAAATAGAGAGGACACAAATAAAATCAGAAATGAAAAAGTGTAAGTGACAACTGACACCAAAGAAATACAAAATGATAAGAAAATACTATGAATAATTATATGCCAACAAAATGAAGAACATGGAAGAAATAGATAAATTCACTCTGGTTGGTGTGGCTCAATGGACTGAGTGTCAGCCTATGAACTGAAAGGTTGCCAGTTCGATTCCCAATCAGAACACATGCCTGGGTTACAGTCTACATCCCCCGTTGGGGGCATGGAAGAGGCAACTAAGCAATGTTTCTCTCACACATCAATGTTTCTCTCCCTCTCTGCCTCCCTTTCTTCCCCCCTCTCTAAAAGTAAACAAATAAAATCTTTATAAAAAAACCAAATAGATTAAATTCCTAGAAACATATAATCTCCAGAAACATAATCTCCCAAAGACTGAATGAAGAAGAAAGAGAAAATATGAGCAGGCCAACAATTATTAATACTAATGAAATCAAATCAGTAATTGAAAATCTCCCAAAAAACTAGAATCCTGGACCAGATGGCTTTACAGGTAAATTTCACCAAACATTCAAAGAAGAACTAACACTTATCCTTCTCAAACTAGTCATTTACGATAAAAACTCTCAGCAAATTGAAGTAAAGGGAACATAACTCAACGTTAGAAATGCAATATATCAAAGTCACAACTAACTTTATACTCAAGATGTCTACTTTCACTACTTTTATACAATATAGTATTGTAAATTCTTGCATTTAGAAAAGAAAAATAAAGTAATAAAAACTTGAAAAGAAGTAAATCTGTCATTGTTTGCAGATATCATGATGTTGCATATAGACAACCCTAAAGACTCCACCAAAAAAACTATTAGAACTAATAAATGAACTTAATAAAGTAGCAGGATACAAAATTAATATACAGAGATTGGTTGCATTTTTATATGCCAATAATAAATTATCAGAAAGGAAAATTAAGAAACAATCCTATTTACAATTACATTAAAAATACCTTGGAATGAATTTAACAAAGGAAGTCAATGACCTACCTGTACTCAGAAAATTGTAAGAAAATGAAGAATAAAACTGAAGATGATACAAATAAATCAAAAAGTACTCTGTGCTTATGGATAGGCAGAAATAACATTGTAAAATGTCCAGATTACCCACAACAACCTACAGATTCAGTGAAATCCCTATCAAAATACAGATGGCATTTTCAATAGAACTAGAATAAATAATTATAAAATTCATGGGTAACCACAAAAGACCATGAAAACTGAAAGCAACCTTCTTCTTGAGAAAGAAGAATGAAGTTAGAAGTATCAAACTACCTGACATCAAACTATACTATAAGTCTATAGTAACCAAAGCAGTATGATATTACCATAAAATAGACACATAGATGAATGGAACAGAATAGACAGCACAAAAATAAACCCACAGCTACATAGTCAATTAATCTTTGACAAAGGAGGCAAGAAATTACAATGGGTTAAGAACAATCTATTCAATAAATGGTACTGGGAAAACTGGACAGACACATGGAATAAAATAAGATTGGACCAATATCTTACACTACATTCAACAGTAAACTCACAGTGGACTAAAGACTTAAATGAAAGACCCAAAACATAGTCAGTAAACTCTCTGACATTGCTCTGAATGATATTTTTTGGATATCTCTCCTTGGGCAAGGGAAGTAAAAATAAAAACACACAAACAAACAAAAACAACAACTACAACAAAAAATGAAACTACCTCAAATTAAAAAGTTTCCGTATAGGAAAGGAAACCACCAACAAAACAAAAAGCTAAGCTACTGAATGGAAAAAATACATCTGATAAGAAGTTAATATCCAAATATGTATAAAGAACACACACAACTTAACACCAAAAAAACCCAAACAACCTTATTAAAAAATGTGCAGAGGACCTGAATAGACACTTCTCCAGAAAGGACATACAGGTGGCCAATAGACATACAAAAAGATGCTCATGTCACTAATCATCAGAGACATGCAAAATATATAAAACCACAATGAGATATCACCTCATACTGGTCAGAATAGCTATTATGAATGAACCAACAAACAGCAGGTATTGGTGAGGATGTGGAGGAAAGGGAACCTTTGTGCAGTGTTCAAGGAATTGTAAATTGGTTTAGCCTGTGTGGAAATAGCATAGAAATTCCTAAAAAATTAATAATAGAATTAACATATGACCTAGACATTCCATTTCTGGGTATTTATTCAAACACAACTAAAACATTAATTCAAAAAGATATATGCATTCCTATGTTCACTGAAGTATTATATGTTTTTGTGTTTTTTATTGTTGTTCAATCACAGTTGTCCCTGTTTTCCCCATTACTCTCTTCTGCCCTACCCATCTCCCACCATCCACTTTCAATCCATCCCCCTCCCAGATGTCTTTGCCCATGGGTCCTTTATACATGTTCCTTAACTTGACCCTTCTCACTGTGGTATTATTTAAAATAGCCAAGATATAGAAGCAACTTAAGTCCATTAATACATGATTAGATAAAGAAGTGTTACATATATATATATTGGATTATTAGTCAGCCATAAAAAATTAAATCTTACCATTTGTGACAACATAGATGGACCTAGAGGCATTATGCAAAGTGAAAAAGTCAAACAGAGAAAGACAAATATCATATGTTTCACTTATATGTGATATCTAAATATCAAAATAAACAAATAAACAAAACAAGCAATTTCATAGATACACAGACCAAAATTATGGCTGCCAGGCAGGAGAAGGTTGGGGGAATGGGTGAAAAAGGTGAAGGGATAAAGAAGTACAATTGTCATAACTTCATAAGAAGCAATGAAAACAATCATGGAGAAGTACAGCATAGGGAATGTAGTCATCATTATCAGAATCATAATATATTGTATCAAATGTGGACCAGAACTATTGAGGGGGGTCACTTCATAAATTATATAAATGTCTAATTACTATGCTGTACATGTGAAACTAATATAATACTGAATTTCAAGTGCAATGAAAAAATAAATTATTAAAAATAAAATTAAAATGTATAGAAAGGTAAATTTTGTTATGTATTTATTTTACCACAGTAAAAAACAATGGCCAAAATAATCTTCTAATTATCCATGTATAATGAAGGATTTCCCACAAATCTTTCCAATATTCCAATAAAAATCTGCTTTCAAAATTTTCTAATGCTACAAGTGAATGCAGTGTATGAGTATCAATTAAATCATTTTTATATACAGTATAGCATTCACTCAACTGGCAAAAATGAAATCAGGTCTGATAATTAGACAGTAGTACTTTATCATAGTGAATGTACTGATTTTAATGTTTGAATTGTGTCTATGTGAGAAAATGTCATTGTTTATAGGAAATACACACAAAAGTAGTAGCTGTTGGGACATCAGGATGGCAACCAACTCTCAATGGTTCAGAGAAAAGAACACTGTAATGTACTTAAAACTTTCTGTAAGTTTTTAATGGTTAAAAAAATTTTAAATATAAAATGAAAGAATTAAAAAAGAAGGTGTGATGTTAACATATTTACTAATGAGAGTACAATTAGCTACAGTAATATCAAAGTACACCATATATAAACCATAATAAAAATTTAAATTAAAAAATTTAAAACCTTTCATAAAGGAAAAATATTAAAAAAAATTAAAACAGAAAGAAGAAAATTTGAAAAGACTTTAGATGGTGACAAGTATTTCACATAAGTTATAACTGGGGTTGGACACAGTGAAGAACAAAGTTGCTGCTCTACATTGAAACTCACTACATTGCTTTATAATAGAGTAAAAAAGGAAAAAGACAAAACCAAGGCAGAATAAGAAGCACCTATACAAATGTGCTAGCAAATGTCTGATGAATGACCAGACATCAGCTCTCAGTTATACTCACACAATGGTTTTTCCAATGTGCAAAAATGACTTCTCTACAAACTCCCGGACACTGTGGACTTCTCCAGTAGCTATGACAAAATCCTCTGGCTCCTCCTTCTGCAACATCAGCCACATAGCCTACAGAGAGACAGGCAAACCCCAGTTAAAGTTGCAGCCACCTGCCACTTGGGAAATATGTTATCAAACTCACATAATTGGGTATGGACATTGTTGAAAGGTAAACTGAGGCATATTAAATTTTTTTTAAAAAGGAGTTTATTTGCTCATACCTTCACTTGAATAGAGTAGTGCTAAAGCAAAGGTGGTTAGGAGCACTCCATAAGAGAGAGGGGCAAGGTTTTCACAGAGCAGAAAATGAAGCAAAGCAAAACAAAGCAAAGCAAAGAAATTATTAGATTGGTTATAGTTTATGCAGTGGCCTTACTTGGGAAAGCCAAGTAAGCTGTTTGTGATTGGTTTTTCTTAAGTTTCATTTTCTTTGATTCAAGTGAAGTGCCTTAGGTTTGGCTTGCTTATGTGGGCTACCAAGGCATTAGAATCACCTACGGTAAGTCTAACAGCCACTTGTTTAAGCAGTCTCCGTGTTTAAGTACTTCGATCATGTACAGCTAGAAAATAACCATGAACTTAAAGCAATATTCTCACCACTACAGTAGTAGTGGTTCTCAAACTTTAATGTATATCATAGTCATGCGGGGAACAACTCAGTATACGTGCTTAGGCCACAGTCACATAAGTGGACATAATAGAGAATATGCTTTAGATATCTAAACCTTTAACATCCCAGGTGACTGTCATGCAGCAGATGCTTGGACTACAATGTAGAGGAACAAGATATTGAAGAGTATATGTGGCAAATAACCTTTCTTTTTTTAGAAAAGAAGAGTTTAAAAACCATTGTCTAATTTACTTTCATATTATGGACAAAAGGGAAGAAAAAGTCCTTTAAAGATAGATGTTTATACTAAAAGTAGAACAAAGTTTCTTAACAATAAGGTGAAAATGTACCAAAGTGGTGACATCAAAAAGCAAAATAATCAAGGATTATTAATGGACTTCCAGTTAAGATGGAAGCTTAAGTAATATTCATATCCTCACACAACCATGTCAAAATTACAACTAAAATACAGAACCACCACCATTCAGAACCACCTGAAATCTACCTGAGTGGAAGTCCTACAACTGGGGATTTAAAGAAGACATATCAAACCTGGGAGGAGGGGCTGAGCTGTGGAATGGGCTGGTCCCACACCCACATATAGCAGATAAATATCAGGAGGGCAATCATGGCTGTAGAGGTCTGCCCTGAGGAGCAAGGGATCCTAGCCCCATACCAGGCCCCCAAGCTCAGGGTGCCAGTGCTGGGGAGAGAAGTCCCCATGACTTCTGCCTGTAAACACCACCAGGGATTGAGGCTGAAAGAGATGGAAGGCTTCTGTAGTCCCAGGTAATTCCTCTTGAAGGGCCCCCACACAGACTTACTTCGAATCCCTCCCTCTGATCTCCAGTGCTAGGGGAACAGCTCAAAGGGCACCAAGGACATAGGGGAAGAACTGACTTATCTGGCAACAGAGCAAGTGCTGGGGGACAGCTTTCTCCCAGATAACAGTGCTGGTACAGGCTACTGTTCTTTCACTAAGCACCCAGAGCCAGCAGACAGTTGCAATATCTAAGTCTCCATTACTTGGTTTACACTGTTTGCCCCTCTCTGGTGATTCCCTAGTGAGACCCCGTTCCACCAAATTTGTAGGCCTACCCAAGCAGTTTCCAGGGGCTTTTCCATATGAATGGCCTGTCTTGGTTCATGTTTCAGACTTCTAAAATCTTTCAAAAAGCTGTCTCTGGTCTTAAACTGCTCCATATCGCTTGCTAAGTGGTCCCAGGTATAGCACTAGCAGCAGCAGGAGGCCATGGTTGGCAGCTTGGTCTCTCCTGGGTACCTCCAGCCCAGCACAAGTAGCAGCCATCTGCAGATTACTTTGCAGATCAAACCAGGCAGCCCTGGGGAGAACACGGGTGGCAGCTGACCTTAGCAGGCACCTCTTGGGGGAGGGGCCTCAAAGACAGCGCACCCGGTGGACAGCTTCAGACTACTACATTGAAGCACCACAGAAGCACTTCCACAGCCACATACTCAAGGGGGTAGATTCAGTAGGCACAAGAGCCCCAGTGAGGTAAGTTCTGCTCTGTGGGTACAAGCTCCTGCCAGTAAATCCTCTGCAGTGGTTGGTGGTCACAGCTAGTCCTTACAGTTGATCAGCCTGGGGGTAAATCCCTTCCAATGATGTGCTAACAGCAATCAAGGCTCAACTACAACAGGAGGATGTACACAGCTCACATGGGTGTGAGGTATACCTGGAGTGCCCAGCTTTAGTGACTTTAAATAAAAAAAAGTCGAGACTCAAATCAGCAATCTGAAATATAAGGGAGCAAAAAACACCCTCATTATAACAGCAAAAAGAAAAAGGAATAAAAAATATACACAGTGTAAGGAGCCTCTGGGAAAACGTCAAGTGTACCAACATTTGAATCATGGGGGTGCTGCAAGGAGAAGATAGAGGGCAATAAATTGAAACCCTATTTGAAAAAATAATGACAGAAAACTTCCCTACCCCAGTGAAGAAAATAGACATACAGAAAGCACAGAGAGTCCAAAACAAGATGAACCCAAAGAGGCTCTGACCAAGACACAACATAATTAAAATGCAAAAGGTTAAAAATGAAGAACATTAACCCTATGGAAATCACAGTAAAAAATATTACAGTGTAGTTCATGTATATCCAACAGTACATTCATTACTACTATGTGCTGAAATGCAAAAGAATTTAAAACACTACAAATTTGTGTTTATTATATTTATATAATAATATATGATTTTTATTTATTTTCAGTTATAATCTAGAAATTATTAAATACAGAGATATAAAAACACAAAAAATAAATTTTTTCTAAAACCAGAAACATGAATATTATTACAAAATAGAACCAAAAATGTCTTTAACATTAATTAATCAGAATCTTCCATAGCTGGCTTTGCGAAACATTTGTAACGGGCATTGCAAACAACACTGCCGTGCTCAAGGCATACGCACTGTCCACAACCCTTGCAAAACTATTTTAATAAGTGACTCATTTTGGATGCATAGTACCTAACACATTCTGATTTTTTCTTTCCCCCCAAATACTCTTCATTCATGTCTTATTCATCTTTAGTTTCTTCACCAGAAATATCTTGCTTGATATCTGACTCTCCTGAACAAACTTCCACATAATCTTTATCTACTAAATTACTTTTATCTTCATACTCACCTTTATCATTGTCATCAGATTCAAATAGCATTTGCTGAAGTTCTTCAACATCTCTTGGATTATTAAATTGATATATGTATTTTTTCAGCCATTTTCAATGGTAAATAAAAAAAAACACGGACTTTGAAGTTTGCTGGTGGGGGGTGGGGAACCCAACTACACCAACACTGACTTCAGAGTTCACGTCATCTCTCAGGTCCAATTTATTATTGAATGTTACACATCCTTACAAAACAGACTTATAACCAAACTGGCTTAAACATTATGGCTTAACATTAATCATGTACAAACATGCAGCTAGTCATGACCTTGAACATATGTACCTGATATATGTAAAATACTTAAGAAAAGAGTTAGTTTGTATCTCTCAGATCAGCCATAACCTTCGCAGGGTATATAAGCAGAAAGAGAAAAGCAGCTAGTTATCTACAATGGCACTCCCATAAGACTGTCAGTTCTATTTCTCAACAGAAACTTTGACGGCCAGAAGGGACCTGCAAGAAATATTCAAAGTGAAGAAAAAGAAAGACTAAGAACCAAGATTACTCTCTGCAGCAAAGGTATCACCTAGAATTAAAAGACAAATAAAGAGCTTTCCAGACAAGAAAAAGCTAAGAGAGTTCATCATTACCAAACCAGTACTTTCTAAAATGTTAAAGGGTCTTCTTTAAGAAGAATAAGAGGAAGAAGATAATAAATGTGAATAATAAAATGGCAATAAATACATGTCTATCTAGAAATGAATCTAAGAAAACAAAACAAACAAGAAAGAACAGAAACAGACTCATAGATACAGAAAACATTTTGATGGTTGACAAATGGGAAGGTGGTTGGGGGGATGGGGAAAAAAGGTGAAGAGGAGAAAGAAGTACATATTGATTGTTACATAATAGCCATGAGGATGTAAAGTACAGCATATGGAGTATAGTCAATAATATTTTAATAACTATGTATGATCAGATGGGTATCAGATTGGGATAATCACTTAGTAAGTTATATAATGTATCACTGGGTGTACACCTGAACTAATATAATAGGGTATATAAACTGTCATTGAAAAAAAAAGTAATTAAAAAAGCCCAAGGGAAAACATTTTTAATCCACTACTATTTACTTACTGATATTGTTCATTTATATTTATTTTTTAATCCTCACATAAGGATATGCTTATTGATTTTAGAGAGAGAGGAAGAAAGGGGTGGGAGGTAGAGAGAGAGAGAGAGAAACATCAATGTGGGAAAGAAACATCAATCGGTTGTCTCCCATATGCACCCTGACTGGGGATCAAACCTGCAACTTAGTTATGTTCCCTGACCAGGAATTGAATCTACAACCTCTTATTGTACAATAGGAGTCTCAAACTGTCAGACCACAGACCAGTACCAGTCCATGGTCTGTTAGGAACTAGACCACACAGCAGGAAGTGAGCAGAGGGCAAGTGAGCAAAGCTTCATCTGTATTTACAGCTGCTCCCCATCACTCACATTACTGCCTATCCCAGCCTCCTGTCAGATCATCAGATCAGCAGCAGCAGCATTAGATTCTCATAAGAGTGCAAACCCTACTGTGAACTGTTCATGTGAGGAATCTAGGTTGCACACTCCATATGAGAATCTAATGCCTGATGATCTCAGGTGGAGCTGAGGTGGTGATGCTAGCACTGGGGAGTGGATGCAAATAGATTAATGATAATCTCATTAGCAGAGGGGTTAGACCGCACAGGGACCATAATAAATCAATTGCTTGCAGACTCATACCAAAATGCTATCATTGAGTTGCAAGTGACAATTAAGCTGCATCTGGTGCC